TTCAAAGTTCTTTATTGTCATTCACATCACATGTGGTACATGAGGTGGAACAAAATTGTGTACTCAAGGTCCCAGTTACATCCAAAAATAGCAAAAATATAAAGTATATAAAAAAAGAAACAGTATACAAGGATCTAAGATTTATGCTAAACAATATAATGTAATATAATATTAAATTATAAGAAGAGTTCTTTGGTTCTCTTTACACTTTTTACATAGTTTTAAAGTTTATGTTCTTGTAATACAAGATCATTTGCCAGTTTGGGATTTCCTTCTCACGTCCTTGATTTAATGTTATGTGTGTGTGTGTGTGTGTGTGTGTGAGAGAGAGTGTGTGTGTATGTGTGTGTGGTGGTGGTGGTGGGGGCTCCTTCTTCTCTCACCCCCTCCTCTGCAAGAAGCAGCATTATAGAACAGAGCAGCTTTGCACAGCTCGCTCAGTTCAGAGGTGCAGGGGGACCTGGTCCTTTCCGGACTCCTCCTGGCTCCTCGGAGACAATGTAGTGAAGAGGAGAAAGGAGGGCATCTCCACCGGAGTCGGTGGGGGAGAAAGATCTGGAGGATGCACGGACACGGGTGATTAATCTACAGTTTTGCTGGCACGGAACAAGACTGGATATGCGCTCTGAAAGTGTGGAGCAGTGAGGCGCAGAATGGACTCTGCGGAGGTGGCGCTCTCCCTGCTGGTAGTTGTGATCATCGTGGTGTCGCTGCTGTCCAACGTCCTGGTGCTGATCTGCTTCGCCTACAACCCGGAGATCCGCAAGCAGGTGCCGTGTCTGTTCAACCTCAACCTCACCTTCTGCAACCTGTTGCTGACCGTGTCCAACATGCCGCTCACTTTGGCGGGACTCGTCCGGGAGGCTCAGCCCGCCGGAGACGGCTTCTGTCAGCTGGTGGGCTTCCTGGAGACCTTCCTGTCCACCAACTCCATGCTGAGCATGGCCGCCCTGAGCATCGACAGGTGGATCGCGGTCGTGTTCCCTCTGAGGTATCACTCCAAAGTGCGCCATAAGGAAGCGGCGCTCGTGCTCGGGTACACGTGGGCGCACTCGGTGTCCTTCTCCACCGTGGCCACCTGCCTCTCGTGGGTGGGCTACCACCGGCTTTACGCGTCCTGCACCCTGTCCAACCCGGGGGCGCACAGCCGGACCCAGTTTGTCATCTTCACCGTGTTTTTCCACTCCTTCACCTTCCTCCTGTCGTTTATAGTCTTGTGCTTCACTTACCTGAAAGTCCTGAAGGTGGCCAGGTTTCACTGTAAGAGGATCGACGTCATCACGATGCAAACTTTGGTGCTGCTCGTGGACATCCACCCCAGGTGAGCTCGTGCCTCAGAATGCTCTTTTGTGTTCTTTGCAGCGTGCAAAGCAAGCTTGTACCCAAACAGATGTTTATTTTGAAGGAGAACCCAGGGGGTAGTTTTTGCCCTTGTGTGTTGTGTCTGTTAGCAAAATATCTCACGAACCACTGGATCATTTTAAATGAAACTCGCAGAAAGTAATGACTGGATGAGAATCTACATATGATTAACTTTTAGGGTCAACCCCTTCAAAGATGGCTGCCAAAGCCAACTAATTGTGAAAAACCCATAAATGGCCAAAACTCAGTCAATTTTTCAGATATTGAGTTAAAAGTCGATGTGGCAGTAGCTGAGACTGATCCGCAAATCATATTCTGAGCTCGAACAGATTGTACAAAATCTTTGTTCAAGTTTTGCCATCAACTCTTTGGAGCCAACTCTGTCTTAGCAAAATATATCATGAACCACTTGATGGATTTGAATGAAACTTTCAGGAAATAATCACTGTATGTATCTCTACAACTATGTAACATTTAGTGCCAACAGAATTTAAGATGGCCACCACAATCTAGAAAACAAAAAATGATCACAAACCAGTCAATTTTATACATATTGTGCCAAAATGTAGTATTATCTGTCAGTTCTTCTTACCATATACTTAAAATGCTACTTATTCATTAAGATCTAGCATTAAAACTTTAGTAATAAGTGCTGGAGTCAAACCAGTTTGTTAGTAAAATATTTCCTGAACAACTAAATGGATTTTATTGAAACTTTCTAAAAGTAATACTTTTCGGGGGGAAATTACAAAATGTTTAGTTTTTGTATTTTATCTAATTCAAGATGTCTAATTAGCCAACAACAAAAAAAGGTACTAAATGGATTTAACAGACAGTGAGCTAAAAGTTTGCATGGTAGTAGCTGAGAGTCATTCGCAACACAAACATGGCATCTTGGCCATTTTGGTTTGCACACAAAGTCT